CGATGGAAATAAACTAAAACTTAATCTATTTAAAGTTGTTATTTATTTTTCTTTTAGAAATAAGGTTATAGTCTTTCAACAGATATGGTTTTAATTTATTTTAATCCTTTAACAAAATAAGGTTGCAGTTTATTTCTGTCTTTTAATAAACAAGGTTGTATTTCATTTCAATCCTTTAGCAAATGAGGTTATAGTTTATTTTAATCCTACAAGAAAGAAGGTTGTAGTTTATTTCATTTTTTAAGAATGGTTGTAGTTTATATAAATTCTTTAATGAGGTTGTAGTTTATTCATCAATCCTTGAAGAAATGCGGTTGTAATTTATCTTAACCCTTTAACAATAAGGACTAGGGTATTGTGAGTGGGATGGCGCTGGGTATTAGATCCTCCTTTCTCTTCTAAATTATCCTACAGGAATTCTGGCTCGCGCGCTAATCCACATCACGCCAATATTATCTGCTAGGATATCTGATTGCCTGGGTAGTGGGGCGGGGAGGGGTGGGGAAGGGGAGAGGAGCAGGGGAAGGAAGGGGTAAGTGAGGGGGAAGGGTGCCGGACGGGGGGGAAGGGTGAGGGGACGGGGGGGGGAGAAAGATGAAGGACGGGGGCAAGTAAGAGAACGGGGGGGGGAGAGAAGGACGGGATGAAGGGTGAGGAACAAGGGGGGGGAAGGGTGAGGGGACAGGAGAAAGGAGAAGGGACGTGTGGGGGGAGGGGGTAAGGGATGAGGGACTGGGAAGCGGTAGGCAGATGGAGGCCGCACCTCTAGACAATCAGCGGTTAATTAAACTGCCGTAGATCCCTAGATAGGAGAGGAGGCAGCCCGGATTAGAGAAAATTGAACTTCGGGGATTGGAGGATTGACTTCGCTTCCCCGGAAACAAGCTTCCCGATGAAGTTTGAGGCGACCGCCCCTTGCCCACCGAGCAGGGGTCTTGCCTCGCCGGAACGCGGCCCCAATAAGGGAGGCAGCACAATGCCCGGGAAGGAGGTCGGGCTCTGCCAATACCGAGCATCGTCCGTGCAATCAGACGGTGCCTTTCACGGCGGGAGCTGCGTCGCCGGAGGTTGCTGGTCGCCGTGACATGACCGAGGAGAACCAAGATTTTACCATGACGAATATATCGCAGGGAAGAAGCACACACACAGAGTAAAGGCCGTGTCACACTAGCACTTTTTCCGTCAATCTCTTTCTCCGTAAAGGCCGTGTCACACTAGCACTTTTTCCGTCAATTTTTTGACAATTTTATTTAACATAAATACAAACATTCTCGAATATAGCTCTTGATTTGACTTTGCTTGGCTGAAAAAGTTGACGGAAAGGTTTTCAGACGGAAATGATCATTATGACTGGAGAATCGACAATTCGCTCAAAAATTGACAAAATTTCAGAAAAATGTAAAAAAAAAAATTGACGGAAAAAGTGCTAGTGTGACAGTACCTTAAGGATCGTCTACAAACGGAACGCCTCCCAGACCAAAACGGTTACGACCGTTTCCGTCTGGCTAATTTCCGTATTGATTTTGTACTATTAATAAATTAGATAGGATGAGTGAATGTAAACATAAGCTAACATTTTAGAACATTCGTATATACAATATGCATCATCATATTTCTTTAAAATAACGTAATATATATGAAAATGTTCGTGTGATTCCCGGGACCTCACTCCGATAGCGCCATGTTTGTTTACATGATTTTCATACAGAGTTCATTCGGAAACGCAAAAAAATGACGGAAAAAGTGCTAGTGTGATAGGGCCTTAAATTATAAGAGAGTTATATACAAAGACAGAAAGACAGACAGAATTGCGGATATCAAAAATTGAAAAATAAAGAGTCAATCTATAAATGGAGTTTAACAGGAATATAGGACAGAAAAACCTATATCGAACACTGAGGGAGCCATAAACGATAAAAAGGGATCACGGGCGAGTCCTAAAATCCTTTCACTGACCAATGGGTAAGCAGGAGCAAGCAGGAGCATCCAGGCGGGAAGGGCGTGTATGTACTCTGCTTGCGTACGTTGCCAACTAGGGAATTCCATATCTGACAACAACAATCAATAATAAGTCTTGTTTTCTCTTTGACTACATATTTACCTTGGTTGAGAAATCGAAGAAAATAATACCCATAACGAGAATAATAAGGATTCAAATAGTTAATAACTGATACGAGACAAAATTATTTAAAAAAAAAAAAAAAACGAGCACGTCTCTCATACGGCATAACGATCTGGCAACCTCTTTGTTGACATGCCATTCAGATATGAACATTCAGAGCGTATATTGTTTGTTTTTTACTACAATTAATTCTACGGTTTAGTGGTGTATCCGAGGTAAAGTCACCGTCCGTTTTCTTTCTTTCTTTCAAACCACGTTCCGAATATTGAAAATGGGTTCATGCAGTTACTGAAGCGTTTCGAAGCTCCGTTCACTCGTTCGAACTGGACAGCGTCAGTGAAAAACGGATATCCACGTAGCCCACTAATGAAGCTTCCTTGTCAAGTGTTTTTAAACTTTGGAATACCTTTCAGAGACGGGATCGCTTTGAAGTACTCTAATCACAAAGAGCATACTGTTATATCATCATTATTATTGTTATTGTTATTATTATTATTTCACTGTTAATATTATTATTTATTATTGTTATTATTGTTATTATTATCATTATTATCTTATCATCATTATTGTCGTTATTGTCATTATTATCACTATTTTATTGTCATTATTATTATTATTCATTATTACATTATTATCAACAGCATCCTCATTATCATTATTATTATTATCATCACTATTATTATTATATTTCTCTATTGTTGAGCAAAGGAGGTGGAATGACGTACATACAAAAAAAGTAACATAGACGAAAATAAGAAAATTTCACAAAATGTAAACCATGTCTTCCTTTCTTGGGCAGTATTGGCAGTCCACAGATAAGAGATAATGAGGACAGTTCTGTGAAACGTTATCAATCAATGACGTCATCGATACCGCGTCGAGTGGTACGCTCTCTTGCTCCCTTTTCACTGACTTTTTTTTGCTTTTTTTCTTTATCTGTTTTTTGCTTTTCTTTCTTTCTTTCCGAAGTCCATGGGGTAATGAACACTATGACATGTTCGTTTTGCAGAATTGTTTTATATGATCTCTCTTTATTATTATTGTTGTTGTTGTTGTTGTTGATATATATTTAACTTTTATCTTTTATTCTCTTTTTTATTTTTTATCTTTTATTTTATTTTTTACTTTTTTTCTTTTCTTTTTGCCTATTTTTCCTTTTTTTCCTTTTCTTTTCATACTTTTTTTTCCTCTTTTATATCTGTTCACTCCTGCTAGACTAATCATTTCTGGAAACCTGAATTGAGAACCGGATTCCTTCTAGTGGCTGGATCTAAACCCCAAGGGAAGGTTGGTGGATGAGGAGACGTATTATTGGCCATTGGATCTGCGGCCACTTACGTATTTCACGTTTTCTTGTGTCCAATTTATCCGGTAGACGTATGTGATTAAGGTTTTTGAGGAAAAAAAAATAATGTTCGCTTAACAAAATTTTGATATTGCTAAGTTGAATGTTTTATATTGATTTATGGCAGTGATATAGATTTAAAATATGTATCTGAGGCGACTGGAACGTATCTGAGGATGTTTCAGTATATACGTGATACTGTACTTAGGTGTGTATTGACTTATCTTTTGTTGTTGTTCAACTGGAAACTAAAACTACTCATATTTTCTCTTTCTTTGCATCTTGTCCGTGATAATTGCCCCTTCATATTGCAAAGATTATTATAATTTGCGAGAATTTAATGCAATAATCTGTATAACAGGACTTTTCCCGCGGTTTTCTCTTCGCTGTGGAGACGACGCTGGTGCATTGTGGGTAAAACAAAGGCTAGCGGAACTATCTATCTAATGAGTTTTATCCTTCGTCTATGGTACTTATAACAGGGTCGTGTAGGTTATTATAAGCGTATTAGCTTGCTTGTCTCTTCCTGGAAAACGATTTCGCTATAAGGTCGACAAAGAAGAAGAAAAAAAAAAAAAGGATTTTGAGCTATATTTGTGGCACTTGTCATGCCTGACAGTGGTACAATTTTACGTCGCTTTCTTATTGGGTTTCTTCCTCGTTGCGCAGATCTTTTTATTTTGATATAATTTTTTCTTTATTACTATTTTTTTCGTTTCTCTCTTTACTTCTGTCTTCTTTTTCTCTCTCTTCTTTTCTCTCTCTCTCTCTCTCTGTCTCTCTCTCTCTCTCTTCTCTCTCTTCTCTGTCTTCCTCTCTCTCTCTCTCCTCTCTCTCTCTCTCTCTCTCTCCTCTCTCTCTCTCTCTCTCTCTCTCTCTCTCTCTCTCTCTCTCTCTCTCTCTCTCTCTCTCTCTCCTTCCCCGCTTCCCTGTCTTACTGCCCCCCCCTCTCTCTCTCTTGAAACCAAGGATATAGATCCAGGTGGAATATGAGCTTAAAATAAAATAAGCTCACCCAGACAAAATGATAATGATAGAGAGAGAGGATAATAATGATAATAAAGATGATTATAGTAAAAAAAAAAAAAAGAAATGAAATACGACACAGAATTTTGCCAGACCAGGATGTATATCTCGGCTACATTGTTATAAATAAAATAACATGAAAATTGTGAATCATAAAACACAGCTGTAAAACACATGAAAACTTTCGTGAATACAGACACGTGGTTCAGCTTTGTCTCAGCTGACAAAGTTAATGTTGAAAGAAGATTAAATGAATAAGTTAGTTTTCTCTTGGTGTTTCCTACGTTAAAGGAAGGGTTAGAGTGAGTTTAATGTGCGTAAATATGAGATATGTGTGAATAAGAAGATCAAAAAGGAATTATTTATGGTTTGTGGTTACGATAGTTGCTAAATTAAAATCTTCGGGGCAGAAAAGTGAACGTGTGTGTGTGCGTATATGTGCGTGTGTAACCATACATGGAATACATGCATGTATTATTACCAGACCTTGTGCATGATATTGAAAAAAATACATCCATGTATTCGATTGATATTATGCTTTTGTACGAACTTTTCGTATTTTCTTTCTTTTACTTTCTTTCTTCCTTTCTTCTGTTTTATTATCGAATTTCTTTCGCATTCTGAAGAGCTCATGTGCACAGTACATTCGTTTGCGTCGGGTGGCTTCTATTCAGGGAAAAGTCATCCTTCCCCCCGCATGTACGTCAGCCGAGGAGTTAGAGCGTCCGCGCATGCAAGGCTATTCTTAGAAAGTCATTTGGGCGTAAAAATGAAGAATAATATCGCCACGGAAGATGTCCCTGGCCGAGGAGGATGGAACTTTTTATTTTCATCTCCGCGGTCTCATTCATCCAGAAAGAAAATATAAGAAACTGTTTATGTAGATTATGACTGTCTGTAAATGTGTTATTATGATGCTGTTTTTTTATTTGTTTGGTGTTGTTTTCGCATTTGTAGCGATGATTTTCAAGTGTCATTAAGATACCGAAGCTTGTCACTTTCGTAACTGCTTCGGAAAGAAAGTCCGAACAGTTTTCGATTATAATCTTATTCGCACAACTTTTTCGAGGTGGTGCGAATAAGCAAGAAGATGAGAGTTATAATGGACATGCCTGTCAGGTTGCAAACTTTGAAAGTTAAGTCTTGACTTGTATGGATCATGTATGTTTAAAATTAAAGTTTCCCCACCACCATCCTTAGCTCGAGGCTCAACAACCTCCGTTAAAGATGCCTATCCACTCTATCCTTTTAACATGCAGGATACGAACGACCCCGCCCTATCACCTACAAAACACCTTTGTAGTTCCTTAAGCGGTTCTTTCCATTCCCTCCGCGTCCGGCCTTACCTTCAGATGGGCCAATCCCTGGACATGGTGCAGCTGGTTCCCGTGCAGGTCCAGAACCTCGAGCTTCGTCAAGTGTTCTAAACCGTCGAGTCGAGACAGCCTTTGGTGGTGGTGGTGGGGGGGGGGGGAGAGAAACGGAAATTGGATTATTATTGTTATTGCTATTACTATTCTTGATATCGTTATTATTATCATTATCATCATTATTGTTACTACTGTCCTTATATTCATTATTATTTATATATTATTATTATTATTATTATTATTATTATTATTATTATCGTTATTATATTATTATTATTATCGTTATTATATAATTATTATTTTCATTACTATTGTTAGTATCATCACTATTATTAGCATTATCACTATCTTAGTTATTATCATTATTATCATTATCATCATTATTATTATTGATATTATAATCATCATATCATAGTTGTTATTATTACATATCATCATTATTATTATTGATATTATCATTATCATTGTTATTATCATTATCATTACTATTATCATCACCATTATAGTTATCATCATTATCATCATCATCATCATCATGGGTATTGCTGCTGTTAACATTCCTATTAGTAGCTTCATCGTTATTTCTGTTTTATCTTTTATTTTTATTATTATTTTTTTAACAGAAGGATGAGATAATTAAACAGAAGGAAGAGATAATTATGAAGCCACAATCTTGACCATCGAGAAGTTGTCAGGAATGTATAAAATGCGTCACAGCAAGCATATTGTCCTGTAATGCTGTTGCTATTGTTGTTTTTCTTATTGTCCTTGTTGTTGCTGTTGTTGTTTTATGTCTTTGTTATTTTTGTTGTTATTGTCCTTGTTGTTGTTATTATTGTCCTTGTTGCTGCTGTTTTTGTTGTTATTGTCCTTGTTATTATTATTGCTGCCTTGTTTTTGTTACTGTTATCTTGTTACTATAGTTTAAATTATCACCGTAGAGGATCATATTTTGATTAAATTAATTCCTCTTTCTTTCTCCTTATAATCTAAAGTATCTACGCACTCTTTTCCCTTCGCAAAGACAACACTTCACTCCCACCTTTTGACTCTACTGAAACCAGACTGCAATTCCGTCACTAAGGTTGATAATCCAAAAAAATGCGGATTTTATGAAGACAAGAGGTATAGATATGATTATGAATATAGATTTAGATATACATAAAGATAAAGAAATATTGATAGATTGTTACTATTATTCATTATTGTTATTATCATTATTATTCTTATCATTATTATTGTTGTTGTTATTGTTATTATCATCATTATTATTATCATTACTATCATTCAATTATTATCAATATTAATATAATTGTTATCATCTATATTATCATCATCATTATTATTATTATTGTTCTTATCATTATCATTATTATCATCTAATTATTATCAACATTGATATTATCTTTATCATTATTATCATTATTATCATTATTATTATTATTATTATTATTATTATCATTATTATAATGATTATGTTTATTGTTGTTGTTGTTTTTCTGTTCTAATTATTTGTATAATCACTATTATCAGTATCATCATCATCATCATTAGTAGTAGTTTCATTATCATTTCCTTTTTACTGTCATTATGATCATCATCATCATCATCATTATCATCATTATTGTTATTATCACATCAACATTATCATCTTCATTATCATTACTATTATTATCACTATCATCATCATTATCATTACTATTATTATCATTATCATTAAGATTATAATTATTTTTATTACTATCAATATCATTACTATTTGTATCATCATTACATGCTCTGTATGATATAAATAGTATTGGAATTTGGGTAGTTATACTGTTTACAACAAACAAGAAAAAAAAATCTTGTATAACTTTCAATACGTGAAAACGATCATCATGTGATAATATGAATACAATATAACAATAATAATGATGATAATAATGATAATAATAATAACAATAACAATAATAATAACAACGACAACAACAATAACAACAACAATAATGATAATAATAATAATGACAATAATAAAGGTAATAAATTTTGATCTTAAATTCATAGAAATGTGTAAATTCAGATTCTGTGACGCGCTGCGCATGTTGCATTTCTTTTGTCAAAAGGGAGTGTTGTTTACGATCCAGATAGACCGGCAGACATGGACGCCTCAACGGGTTCTGACTTCTAGCATTTGAACTATAGTGAAGTCTGAATCCATATTTTTATCACACAAAAGGGAGGATATATTGAAAAGAAAGAAAAATACATGTCAGCCTGCCAGGGTTTTAAAGCTGAAGTCAGTGTGTAAAAATACTGTAGTGAGATGTTCTGAATATCAATGAATATCATCTAGGTTATACAACTCGGGTGAATGGCAGATCTAGGACAAGCTGGATTTGAGATTTGCATTACCTGGTTTCATCATTAATGCAATCAAATGATATTGAAACTAAAAGGTGATTATAAAGTGTTATGTTCTAATTTTTGTCAATTGGTATGCTAGAGAAACTGCTGGAAAATTATGTAATCATTTTTTAATAATTTAATTGAGCGTTTAATGTTTATTAGTTTGTGATTTCATGGCTTATGATCATTTGATATCGACAACTCTTTAAATGCAGTTTATATAATTTAGCTATGAATAATACTAATTGCAGGTTGAATGATGCAACTTTGGAACCTTCCCTGAATGACAATGAACATTTAGCAATCCAGTGCAATTATCATTCTCATCATTATCCTTGTTATCGTAATCATCATTATTATTATCGTTATCACAATTATCATTATCGTTATCATAATTATCATTACCATCATTAAAATCGTCCTCATTATGCTCACCATTATTATTCATATTATCCTCTTCCTTCTTATTATCCTCAACATTACTATTGCTATTGTCCTCTTCTTCCTCCTCCTCATTATCCTCACTATTACTACTCCTGTTATCGACATTTTCCTCCTCCTACCTCATTATTACCATTATTATTGTTATCGTCCTCTTCTTCTTCCGCCTCATTATCATCACTATTACTATTCCTATCCTCTTCTTCCTCCTCCTCCTCCTCCTCATTATCATCACCATTACTATTCCTATCCTCCTCTTCTTCCTCATTATCATAATATTACTATTCCTATCCTCCTCTTCTTCCTCCTCCTCATTATCATCACCATTACTATTCCTATCCTCATCTTCTTCCTCCTCCTCCTCTTCCTCATTATCATAACATTACTATCCCTATCCTCCTCTTCCTCTCCCCTCATTATCCTCACCTTCCCCTCCCTTCCCCGCTCCTTCTCCCCGCCCACGTCGCCGCCCGAGGGAGGCTTTCCCGCGCCCCCGCCCGTGTGTCCCGCGACTGAGACGAGGCAACACGCCCGTCTTTTGGCGTTATCAGATTTGTCAGCTGCGTCAGTCCTTTAATAGGTTTATGGCTGACAGTGGCCTCGAAGTATTGGCGCGGGGCGTGTGGGTTGGGAGTCAAGAGGTTGTGTGGGGAATGTTGTGTGGGTTGGAAGAGGTCAAGAGGTTGTGTGGGTTGAGAGGGAAGAGGTTGTGTGGGTTGAGAGGGAAGAGGTTGTGTGGGGAATGTTGTGTGGGTTGAGAGGGAAGAGGTTGTGTGGGTTGAGAGGGAAGAGGTTGTGTGGGTTGGGAGTCAAGAGGTTGTGTGGGGAATGTTGTGTGGGTTGAGAGGAAGAGGAAGAGGGTTGTGTGGGTTTCAAGAGGTTTGTGGGAATGTTGTGTGGGTTGAGGTTGTGGGGTTGAGAGGAAGAGGTTGTGGGGAGAGGTTTGTGTGGGTTGAGAGGAAGAAGGTTTGTGGGATGTTGTGTGGTTGAGAGGGAGAGGTTGTGTGGGTGGGTTGGGAGTCAAGAGGTTGTGTGTGGGAATGTTGTGTGTGTGTTGATGTGTGGGTTGAGAGGGAAGAGGTTGTGTGGGGATGTTGTTGGGTTGAGAGGGAAGAGTTTGTGTGGGGTTGTGTGGGTTGAGAGGAAGAGGTTGGTGGGAATGTTGTGTGGGTTGAGAGGGAAAGGTTGTGTGGGGGATGTTGTTGGGTTGAGAGGAAGAGGTTGTGTGGGGGTTTGTGTGGGTTGAGAGGGAAGAGGTTGTGTGGGGAATGTTGTGTGGGTTGAGAGGGAAGAGGTTGTGTGGGGAATGTTGTGTGGGTTGAGAGGGAAGAGGTTGTGTGGGGAATGTTGTGTGGAGAGAAGAGGTTGTGTGGGGAATGTTGTGTGGGAGAGGGAGAGGTTGTGTTGTTGTGGTGGGTTGAGAGGGAAGAGGTTGTGTGGGTTGGTTGAGGGTTGAAGGTTGTGTGGGGAATGTGTGGGTTGAGAGGGAAGGTTGTGTGGGGATGTTGTGTGGTTGAGAGGGAAGAGGTTGTGTTGGGAATGTTGTGTGGTTGAGAGGGAAGAGGTTGTGTGGGGAATGTTGTGTGGGGTTGAGAGGGAAGAGGTTGTGGGGGATGTTGTGTGGGTTGAGAGGGAAGAGGTTGTGTGGGGAATGTTGTGTGGGTTGAGAGGGAAGAGGTTGTGTGGGAATGTTGTGGGTTGAGAGGGAAGAGTTGTGTGGGGAATGTTGTGTGGGTTGAGAGGGAAGAGGTTGTGTGGGAATGTTGTGTGGGTTGAGAGGGAAGAGGTTGTGTGGGGAATGTTGTGTGGGTTGAGAGGGAAGAGGTTGTGTGGGAATGTTGTGTGGGTTGAGAGGAAGAGGTTGTGTGGGAATGTTGGTGGGTTGGGAGGGAAGAGTTGTGTGGGGAATGTGTGGGTTGAGAGGGAGGAGGTTGTGGTGGGGAATGTTGTGTGGGTTGAGAGGGAAGAGGTTGTGTGGGGAATGTTGTGTGGGTTGAGGGGAAGAGGTTGTGTGGGGAATGTGTGTGGGTTGAGAGGGAGAGAGGTTTGTGTGGGGAATGTTGTGTGGGTTGAGAGGAAGGAGGTTGTGTGGGGAATGTTGTGTGGGTTGAGAGGGAGAGGTTGTGTGGGGAATGTTGTGTGGGTTGAGAGGGAAGAGGTTGTGTGGGAATGTTGTGTGGGTTGAGAGGGAGAGGTTTGTGTGGGGGATGTTGTGTGGGTTGAGAGGGAAGAGGTTGTGTGGGGAAG